CTAGTCCCTGCAAGGACTAAATGCAGTGAGTGGCTGCAGACCGGCTCTCATTTTCCCCAAGTTGCTGGAGGAAAATGCACACTGTTTGAAATGAGGGGGTTAAAGATCAAAACAGTGAGTGCCCCTGCAGAGTTTAAATGCCAGGAAAATACAAGCTTGCTTGAAGCCTAGCTGGCTCTGTGATTCTGGCCTTTCAGAGGGTCCCCTTCTTTCTAAGTCTCATTCTCTGAATCCACACTGCTGGAAACTCGTGGGCTATAAAAAGCCGCTTCGCCTTAGGATGAAGTGCAAGGCGCCTCTGGGGTGGTGCAGTAAATGACAGGCACCTGTTGGCAGCCACAGCCACACAGCAAGCAGTCCCCCAAGCAGTCGCTGCCTTGCACTTGGGTACAGAGTCTAATGAGTAAGACAGAAAAAAGCCGACAGTCAGTGTCCAAGACAAAAGACAGTGTGCATTTTACTCCTCATGACTGTGGCGCTGCAGAGCCACAGGGACTTGGGCATAGGCCTCCAGACAATGTAACAGTGGCCTGCCCTTGCTGCTGAAGCAAAAGACATGGGTAAGCTTGCTTTGGCTCTACAAGGCCACCAGTCCCCTTCTGTCCAGGGGGAAAGAGCTCAGGGACTTCCTGCCTTCCTAGCAGTGCTGGAACCAAGACAATGGTGCCAGGAAAGGGCGTCCTCAGGTGCCACCAGAGCAGTGGGGGATGGGGGAGGGAGGCTGCAAGTTGCTTTCAGTGACCAGGGAGGTTCAGCTCAGAAGTGGGTCTACTAATGCAGTCTACCCTGAGCTTCAGCTTCTGGGAAGCGGGCGATTCTGCTGGAGAAGTCCCTTGGCTCAGGGCACAGAACCTCCTCGTCACAGCACGCTGTCCTGATGCACGGGACACTACTGTACTGAGCTGGGCTTTTCCCGATAATCTGCCAATGAATACCACGCTGGCTGGTCTGCTGGGCAGGCATAAGCAGGCCAATGAGGTACAGAAGAGTTAGCTCCATGCTCTTAGCCAGCACCCACTACAGGCAGCATCAATAACACCCTACATTTCAGTGGGGGACAGGAAAACAGAAGTGAGAAAGAGTGGATCTTAAAAAGCAGAATTTAGAAGGCTGCCAGTCAACCCTGGTCTCTGGTGCTGATTCTCAACGCTAAGCATCACTCTGCAGGCTGCACCACACAGAACTGCCTTCGCTGTGGGGCCTGACAGCGGGAAGGAAATGGCAGCGGGACAGAATATCAGACACACCTTCTACAAGCCTGGAGTACAGGCTCTCTGATGCTACACCACGCCACACCTTTTCCATGGGACATGATTAGTTGGGGCTTTACTGAGAGGATTAAGCTGGATTCTGTAGCACATTATTTTCTCAGATATCCCTTCATCTGACAGCACAGTCAGTCTCCCCCGGCAGGCTCTTCCTTGCTCCTGAGAGGAGAGAGACCTCACTGTTACCTGTCTTTAGAACACCGACACCCGCCCCAGCACTGAGGCTAACCCCTGAGGTACACTGGAGTAAGGGTGAGAGGACAGAGACTCTGAGATGTCCTGTCCCACTGGGGTGAACACACCACCTGGGATCAGTCCATTCTCACTACTTCAAACACGCCATGTAGAGTACAGAGGAGACTGGCAAGTGCCCACAAATCTCTCCAACTGCCCTAACAGTTCATTTTAGACTCTGTGGCTGGGTGTGCCTGTGGGCTCAGACAAGGACTGGCAGGTTGTTTCCAGGGAGGGGTGGGTAAAAATACGGTAGCACAGTCTAAAACTGTGCTTCGGAAAATCACCACTTCACACCCTGCCTGGGCTCCTGATACGCTTCCTATATGCATTCAAAAACAACTCACTTAGCACAGAACAGTTTTTAAGAAGGCAGGGCAAGGGGCCCTACATGAAGGAGGGTTCATTATCAAAGACCAGGTTCTGGGCTGCAGGCTGCCAGGCTCCAAGGTTTGAAAAGTCCTGAGGGCCACTGTAGGGCATGGAGGAGGAATTATTGCTATGCCACAGAGGGCACGAAGGGAAGAACTGGGTTAAAGGAAAGACAAACACAGGCTTTAATGATGCTGACTCCTCTGGCAAAACAAGACCGCAATAACAAGTACTTTCTTCCTTCTTGAAGTCAACACGGAGAGGAAACTGTCAAGAACAGCACAGAAAATAACTGTTCATAGCTGATATGGTGTCTGCACCACCAACACTCTCAGCTTGGCAACTTAGCAAGAGTGCAGAGCCTGCACAGGTCCTAGGCACTGAAGACTGGGTGTGGGATCACAGCTCCTTCCATTTGGTTCTGGACGGGGAAGCAAGGCTAGATCTGTACATTTCTAGGGATGCTGGGGTGAAGGAATGCTGGCAGGCCCAGAACAATGATGCTCTCAGATAAATAATGGTCTTGTTCTTGAAATAGTCTGAGTTCTACACAAGAACTTGAAGGGCAGCCTAGCAGACCCTGCAGGGACAACCGTGGCCTGCTGTCCCTTCCCCAGCACCGTGACCAAATATCCAACCAATTGGAGAAAGGGTTCTTTTGGGCTCACTTTGAGGGTACAGTTCCACACAGAGGGCAAGGCATGGCAGCAGGGGGCTCCCTGGCTGCAGGAGTGTCCAGCTGGGACTCCACATCCCTTCATCCTTCCCAGAACAGAATGGAAGCATAAACCTCAAGGTCTGCCTCCCGGCAGTCTTCTTCCTCCACTTAGGCCTGACCTCCCAAGTTTCATCACTTCCTGAAATGGTGCCACTAGCTGGGGATCAATAGTTCCAACACATAACGATGTGGGGGACAGTTAACATTCAAACTATACTAATTGGTAATCTTACTTAAGTCGCCATATTGGGGTACCCACTTGGTCAGCTCACCTAACTCTACCTCAAATGCCAACTGCTCCCTTAGACCACTGCTAACATCTTCCAGTGTCCTGGTACCTGGGACGGTTCATCTCTGCCCATCGGATTCGGAGTTACCATGGAAACACACTTATGTGTGTGTCTGAGAGTTTTTCCAGAAAGGCTGAGCTAAAAAGGGAGGGCCCAGCCCGGATGTGGGCAGTGCCATTCCATCTACGGGGTCCTGCACGGAATAAAAGGGAGGAAGAGAGCCAAGCACCAGCATTCATCCCTCCGCTTCCTGAATTCTGTCTCCTGCTGGATACTGTCTGTAACGGCCTTGGCTCTGGTTTAGGCGCTGCTGGTTTGCCCAGTGTAGCCTCCTTGTTCAGGGCAGCACTTTATTCAGGTGTGACAAGGTCATGACCTCTGAATGCCACAGGGCATGAGACACCCTAATGTGCTGTTCAGTTTCAGGCTGTGCTCACGATGGCCAATGGGACTGTGGTCAGGGTGATGAGAAGGGACCCACCATGCCCTCTGCTGACTGCACCCTGGGCAGGGGCTTCCCTCAGAGAGGTGACATGTTGGTGAACCGAACAGAGAAGGCTGCCAAACACGTGAAGGCACCAAACTCTAAGGAGCTGTCCACTTAAAATAGCTAACTTTATATTATGCAAATTCTACATTATGAAATAAAAAGGGCCTATGCCTCCTGGCACACCTTGGGCACAAACTACTCATGGGAAGCCATGTGTCCCAGCTCTGAGTGGTTCCTGAGGTATTTCTTACTGGAGAACAGTATCCAAATCCTGTGCCCATCCCTGAGACACTTGCCAGCCAGGCTCTTTTTTAAAAGATTCCCCAGGAACTCCTCTTGGCCTCTCCAGTCTAAAGGCCATTTCTCCTCTGGTCCTCTGGCACAGCTCCAGACAGCCTGTCTTCTTGTGTTATTTCCCTGGTATTCTGGACCTAGCACAGTGCTCAGAAACATGAAAGGGTGCTGGAGAGAACCGGTCCTTGTCAAGGGAACAAATGAAACAGCAGTTGTTGGACGAGAGCCGAGCTGGAGGCCAGTGCAGAGCACAGGAGATAGGAGCGCTGCCTGTAGGAAAGCTGACTCAGGTGCTTTAGGGGTGTGCAGCGAACCCCCATACACCATGGGGTCTTGCCAGGAGCTTTACCCTCCCAGAGCTGAGGAGTTAAATTTTTACACCATTTCTTATTTAAATTTTTAAAACTTTAATTATTTTTATGTGTATGGGTGTTCTGCCTGCATGTATATCTGTGCACCACGTGTGTGCAGTGCTCCCTGCCCTCAGAGGCCAGAAGAGGGTGCCTGATCCCCTGGAACTGGAGTTACAGACAGCTGCAGGCTGCTCTGTGGGTGCTGGGAATCAAATTCAGGTCCTCTGAGGAGCAAAGGCACTCTAAAGGCCGGGTCACCTCTCCAGGCCTACTTCTTTTTCTTAACAGTTCTTTATGCTTTTCAGGAAACAAGCAGTGGTGAGGCAGAGTGGAGGAGGCAGGGTTCCATGCTGCCCGCTTCTCTTAGCCCACCTCCATGCACTTGGGCAGACCCCAGGCTCTGAGAAACTGCATTTCAAGACCGGGTGGAGCTGGGAACTACCTGAAAGATTCCGTCTCAATACCGCCTACACCACACACAGTAACTCACCCCTGTGAGCATATAGTCTTCTGGTCTCGGATGCTATAACCACCATTACCACCTCAGAGACAAAGCATGGCCACCCCTCCCACATGTCCTCTGGCATGCCTTCGAGGCTGGCTTCCTGCTTCACTCACAGGCAACCACCAACCTGATTTACACCCCAACCTAACTGCTCTCCCATGTCATAGAAATGTGTGTACAGTAGGAAGTTTTGTTTTGTATGTCCGTTTTCCCCATTCATGGAGCCCTGGGCAGGAGAGATGACCTCGACTTCTGATCCTCCTGCTTTTGCCTCCCAAGTACTGGGGTTATGGTGTGTGCGACCATGTCACCCAGGGCTTTGTGCCTTCCAGGCAAGCACTCTACCTAGCCTGAGCCACAGTTCCACTCTTTCATGCCCCCCCACTTTTAAAAGAGACTCTGAGTTGAGAAAGTGTATACCCAAAACCATTCATGGCTTCCCCGTCCTCCTGAGTAAGATAAAGAGGACAACTCACCTTCTGGAATACTTGATAGTTGGATTTGGACCATATGTCAAGCTGTTGGGGGAGAGAGAGAGAGAGAGTGCGTCAGTCAACCCAAGGAAACAGAACTGTGATAGTGTGGAACCCAAGTGGCAGAGGCCTGCAATGGCCTGCCTAAGTTTCTTCTTTACTCACCTCCAGGTGACTTAAATGAAATAAAAGGATATGGGGTCATCAACCTCCAGGCCCCATGGCCTGAGCTTCCTGTCCACTTTAGAACCTGATTCTTCCTGAGGCTCTGGCATCCCTTGAAGTGCTGAGTCACCCTATGCTCTTCTCCTGAATTGTCCTTCCCACAGGCTTGCATGGCTCCTCTTGGACTCCCCTCGAAGCTCAATGTCACTATAATTAGGAAGGCTTTCTCCAGCCACCTATCAAGTATTATCCCCAACAGTTGCTTTCCTCACCCTTTGGAAAGGCAAAGTGTTTCTAATACTGACTGCCTGAAGCGCTGTTATTCTACGTTTGCTTCTGACTTGGCCCAGACAGAATGGGAGTTCGGTGGGTAGAGTGTTGGGGCCTGGCACATCATGGGCATCCGTAGCCACTGCAGAGCGAAGCAGCAGCAGTGTGCAGCCGAGGACACTGGTCACGCTAGGCATCACCCCCCCACCCCCCCCACCCCCGGTTCCATGTCATCTCCAGGATGGGCTGGGCTCTCCAGAGGAGGGAGTTCAGAGCTGTCTCCTGCCAAGGTCAACTGGAGAGGCCTCTACAGATGGCAGGTGGCATCATCTGGCTGTTCAAACCTGCTGGCACTGGCAGGCCTTGGGAGGGTTTTAATTTTTTTAAATTTACTCTTCTCTCATACATTACAGCCGTACCGCAGTTTCCTCTCCCTCTACTCTTCCCAGCTCCCCTCCTCCTCTGTATCTCTTCAGAAAAGGGCAGACCTCCCAGGGATATCTACCAAACACGGCAGAACAAGCTACAATAAGACCAGGCACAACCCTCACAGCAAGGCTGGATGAGGCACTCCGGTAGGAGCAAAAGGGACAAGTGCCAGACACCCCTACTGGTCAGGGAGTTGTCTTTTAACTTACATATATTCCTGTTTTGTTTTTTAGTGGCACATTCCTGCTGGGCTCTGGCACTGGCTGGGTTAGGAGGCCCTGATCTAAGGAGATTCCACCAGTCCAGAAGTGATGTGGGCAGAGCTCAGGGAAATGAGGCCAGTCCCCCACATACTGGTCTCCTGGATGGTATCTCAGTGGCTTATCTGAACTGAAACCATTTTGGTTTCCCTAGCTTGCACAGTAACCCACGCCTTCTCACTGTTTCAAGAGTTCAGAACAAATGATGAATGGCAAACCCAGAATTACCCCAGACAGAGACTGCCAGAGCCAGGCTGCCACTCACGGGTAATGACAGGTGAGGAAGCCTCTGTGTGTCCCAGAAGTGCTAGACAAGTGACTTTAAAATGATGAGGTCAGGAGCTGAGCAAATTGAAATGCCCAGTGAATGGCTTCCTGGGCCTGCCTCTGGGGTTGACTGGTGGTCAAGGCGGAAGTCTGAGCTGGGGCACCGCAGGCCTGTGTGCACTGGTTTGCAACACCAGGGTGCACAAGAGGTGGCTGCACAAGAACATGCGCTGAGTCACAGGAAGTGAGTGCGGCACGTGACCCTGGTACTTCAGAGTCCTTTCTGCTCTGAGGAAACACCACAATCTGGCTTTCTGAAGGGCCCTTGGAAGCTAGAAGTTGGGTCGCACCAGGTACACATTCCTTCCTCCCAGCTCCCTCCTTCCCACTTGTGACTGGTTTGTTAAGTCTCAGGTGCTAAAGGGCAGAGTGGGCAGCCCAGCTTGAGAGTTGGTAGACAGCGTGGATCTTTGGTCACGCATGCATGTATGTATCCTACTGCCCACGTCAAATCACTGCTGGTTCCCCATAACCCCCTCCTAACAGCACGTCCCCAATGCCAAAGTGCATTCCCCACCCCAGAGAGGCAACATCAAACTCCAGTCTTTGTCCCCTTTAAACTGACATATGGGAAGAATAATCTGCAACCTCTCCAGGCATTAGAGACTGACAGTGTGTGGGGCAGAGATGAGAGCAGCTGTCAGAACTCCTAGAGGAAGGGTTCTGTGGGGAAGGCACCTGCTGTTAAGCCCGATGACCTGAGTTCAATCCTAAGCACCTACATGGTGGAAGGAGAGAACTGATTTCTGCAGGTTGTCCTCTGACCTCTGCACATGCACTCACATGTGTAGATACAAAATAAATAAAACTAAAAGAATACACATGGTTAATTCCTACACTGTCCATCGTGCTGGGTGCCAGTCCTGTGTGGGAGAAGTGCAGCACTTCAGCCCAGGGTTTAACAAACGCGGCATTTAAAGACTGTCCAGGGAACACAGGGCAAATGAGAATGACTTTGCATCTCTTAGTTCTACCGAAACCACAGTGCCAGAGACTTGAAATCAATGTTTTAGGAAGGGCAGCGTTGGTGTTGGAACTTGGAAGAAACTTCTTTCTCCTCCCGATTCCAGTCGGCAGTTCTCACTGTTGACACTTCCTGCCCGTTCACACCACACACAATACACAAAGACAGGGATATAAGTCACAAAGACACAGAGGTGGAAGTTATACACTCTCAAAGTTGCAGACTTTACTTAAACAATTATTTAGAAGACCTTCAGTCTCTACAAAATATTTAAATAAAAAAAAAATCACACCGAGAGAAAAGATCAGGGGCTTAATTAAGAAGGATTCTGCAGCTTAATTGTGGATTCTCAAAACATGCCTTGCCTATTCACTGTGCCTCCTTTTTGAAAGGTTTAAATATGCCATTCAGAATGCTAGGGGATGACTCTACCATCTGGGACAGCAAGGCCTTGGACAATACAGCCCATTTACCTGGTGCACATGGCTGAGAAAGGGACCCAGTAACAATGGGCTCTCCTTTTGCTGGGAACCTGCGGCAGGTGGCTTATACTTGATCTTCCGCTAGGTTTGTGCCAGAGAAAGCTGTTTAAATGAGCATTCTGGAGTCGATGCCCTGTCTCTCCTTAGGGCCAGGGAGAGCTCAGAAATTCATTCCAGGAAGCCAAGGCTGAGCCAGTGAATATTTATTAGCTCTTGTCTGTTTGCTGCAAAGGCATTGTTAACTTTTTTTTTTTTTGCTAGTTGCAATATTAAAAAAGGGAACATTATGGAAACTACAAACCTTCATCTCGGCGAACAAGACATTATTCTGAACTAAGGTGTCAGGAAGAGAGTGAAACTCCCCAGAACACTGGACAATGCTGGAAGGATCTGAAGGACCAAGGCAGCCCGAGGATCTGGAGCTGCAGAGAGTGCAGGTGGGGCAGGGTCTATTTTCAGGGGAGTAAAGGGCAACCCTGCATGTGAGTGGGTGCTCAGTATGTTCTCAGGACAGACACCAGAATGTCAAAAGACCATGAGGACCAAGATCGGATGCTAAAGGCAAGGTCACTCTGTCCTTGCTGATCTGTTACCTCTGTCACAGTCGGCAGGGGTCCCCTCCCAGTACTGACACACAGAAACCTCTTCCAACTCAGATGAGGAAACCAAGGCTCAGAGAACATCACAGTTAAGTAGTGGAAAATTTGAGAGCCAGGCCCATGCCCAGAGGCCCAGGGCTTACCCTGGGAGGAGACTACCTCTCAGCTTGACTTCAGATGGGATGCTACTTAGGGGTTCCTCTACAATGTCACTGGCCTAACTCTCTGGGGGTGCTCCTGTGGAGTTCAGCCTCACAAATCCATGCCAGGCCTGCCGCTGTGCCAATCATCACCGCTAACATTCATTTAGCAGTATGCGAAAGTGCTGGCAGCTTATCAGAAACTTATCAATTCTTTATTTCATTTCAAAAGGTGGTGCACACAGAGAATTTTAAATGATCTAAAATGGACACTTCCAAATGAAGCTCCTAAGCCGCAGCGGGGCCTCAACCTTTAAAGAAAACCTTTAAAGGGATGTCTATCTTGCAAGGCCAATGGGTGACAGACAAGTCAGTCTGGGTGAAGGACACGACTGGGCACCCGAGAAGGATTTCTCTGTAGCTGGTCAAGTTTTCAGAGCCATGGAAACTTCTGTGTGGTCACCTTCTTGAGTCTGCCCACCCTCCCAGAGGAAGGGAGGAAGTAAGTCTCACCAGGAACGCAATGTTACTGTTCTATTATTCTTCAGCTTTTCACTTCCAATCAGGACATGCATTTGTTACTAAAACATTGCTGAAAGCACAACGTTGGGGCGCCCTCTGCATAGAATCCAGCTGGAGTCACCCCCTTTCCCAGCGCTCACCCTTCTCTCCAGAAGTAACAAGAGGCCATTTTTCTGAAGGTCGTCTGAACAATTTCAAAGGCTATAACAAATCAAAATGTTCCCTGCATCTAATATCAAACGGGGCTGATGCCAACACTTATTAGAGAAATCAGATTCAAGCTTCCCCCAACCCCCTCGACCCAAACACACACACACACATCCAACTTTGAAGTGGGAAGAATGCGGGATCAGAAATTACCCTGGAGACAGCTCTGGCTGTCTTTGAAGGCTCCCTTTGATACCACCATTTCTTCTCCTCTCTTACGCTCTGAGGCTAAAAGCTGCCTTTTTTATTGATATGGGGTAATTAATGAAGCTATAGCATTAACATAACCTAAATCCCCTAATAAGATAAATTCAACTGAGACACCTCGATTTTTTCCATCCTTTAAGTCTGACTGATATAAAATCAGGACAATGGCCAGGTGTTCCCCACCCTGTCTGTCAGCACGCCGCGTCATGGCCCTCACTCCCTGATTACAGGGAATAGTGGTTGGTAAGGCTGAACAGCAGTTTTATTCTGAGAGGAATGAGGCTACTGGAGCTTGATATCAAAAATATGCATCACAGGTAAGGAGACAGGGCATCAGGGAGTGGCTGCTACAGCAAAGTGCAAGGTGGCTGTGCTGGGGTGGATGTTGACTGGGTCTGGAAGCTGTGTCGGGGGAAGGGAATGCCTGACCATTGCCATAGCATTAAAATGGCGCTGTACTGGACAACCACAAATGGCGGGAGGTTATGGCCATGAGAGGCCTTCTGAGCCCATCCAGTGCACCCACCCCAGGCTGAGCTCCAGATGATGACAGTAAAACAAGCCTGAGCCTGGACCCGGTTCAGCCAAGGCAGGGATGCATCTTCTTCCCCAGGGAAAGGCCGCAGGGACGCTGTTGTTCTTGCAGACCAGACCTTAAGTTCAATGTGTTTTCCAAATCTTACGTTTTATTGAGGAGTGCGACACAAGTGTGTGCACAATGGGCTTAGCACTCAACGACACTTGTGGTGTCTTCTCTTGTGTAAAGAGACTGTAAACAATGGGGCGAGTCACATGGTGAGGAGCAGTGTCAGGACAGCAGCCTGGCCCGGGCAGTCTTGGTCTATTTTGAGGTTCCTACCTGTTACACGGGCCCATGTACATAGGTGCAAAAGGGATCAAGAAGTTCCTGTCCTACCACACTCTGAGGCTAGACATCCTCAAACCCAGATTCCCTCAAAATGCCCACTTCCTGCTATATAGTGGAGGGACAGCAATCTTTCGCACGGAGGGTGTGTATGTGGGCTCATGTGCATCCCTTTAGTCCGATCGTTTATGATTCCAATGTCCACTGCTTCCTGATTCTTCATTTTTCCATTTTAGCTAAGCATTTTCACCTCAGGTAGGCTATCCCACCAGCCTCTGTCCCTATACAACAGTGCTTCCGGTCTGCTCCAGGCACTAGGGTCTACCCTTAGAACACAGGCACAGGACTGGTCCATATAAGCAATTCTAACCCTAGGCTCCAGTTTCTCTCTCTGTAACAAGAGTCTGACAACAGTGTCTGAGGCAAAGTACGGCCAGGAGGTCAGGCTGTGCACAGAAGTGCAAGAGTTACACCCACTAGGCCAACTGTGTTAGTGGGAGGGCACTAGCAGGAGGGAGGGAGACTGGGATGGAGAGAGGCATGCCCTGGAGAAAATACGCGCAACATTTTAGGGGATAAAAATCTGTCAGGTGAACTAGGGTGGCACATGTGTGTACCAGCTTGGCTGTTCTAGGGGCCACAGTGGGCACCAAGGCTGGGGAGTGGACTGGATACATGCAGAGAACGGGGCAGGTAGTGTCAGACCTTGCAAAGGTGTCTGGATCCTGTTTCGAAAGCAGACCTCAGAGCATGTTGTACAAGTTGCTGATACAAGTGCTCTGAGGACAAAGTTGGGACCACAAAAGAGCTTGGTGACCTTGTGAGAAAAACATGTACCTCTTACACATTCATAAGGCACATGCATAAACCAAAAGCTCTAAGAACGGCTAAAGAACTTAACTTCTTAGCTGGGATAGAGGGAGGGATGTCTCTGAGGTGGAGGGAGCACTTACCTAACTGAGAGGCCCTGGGCTCTATCCTTGGAATTGCAAAATAAAGATAGAGGGGGACCTATTTGTAACCCAGAATTTCTTCAACTTGGGTGCAAGGGCTGCCCTGTACCTAACACATATTAATGCCTACCTCCTACTCCGGGGAGGCTGACCTGTAGGCCGAGAGTAGGACAGACCGTGGGAGGGAAGGAAGACTGAAGCCTGGACATGAGTTGGCAGACAGCGGGCCTGGGTGAGATCTAAGAGAGGTGACAGCCAGCACCTGCTGACAGCCCAGCCCTTGGGGATGGTAGGTAGGAAGGTTTAGGTGATTGGGTTGTGGAAGCCTTGTTAAGGAGATGAAGAGTTGAGGCCCCAGAGCTGAGATCCCTGTGTGGATAACATGGCCGAGAAGAGCTAAGAGGAGCGGACAGAAGGAGGAGAGAACCCTGGGGAAGCAGGAGTCATGGAAGAGATGGGCAAGAAGAAAGTGTGGCAGCACCTGCTGCAGCGAACCACCAGAGGGGCTTCAAGAGGGACACAGTAGAGACTACATACCAATTTCCTGTTTTGAGTGTAGTATAAAGTACTAACTATTAACTTTCTAACTGTTCTCCAGGGGCAGAGTGCAGGTGTACCTGTTTGTGACTGTGGACAATTTGGGTTTGGTCAGCGGAACAGCACAGTTGGCATACCTGGTCTGAATTTGAAGGGTGGCTCATTTGCATCCTGATTTGGTAACTTTGCAAGCATGGTGCTGTGTTGCACAATTTCAAGGTACTGTACCTATACAGTTCATTTAATAATGTAATGCAAATTTCTAATCCTTGAAAGTTACTAACTGTCTAGAATAACAAGGAAATGCAGGTTAGTAATTAGTCACCTATTATAATCAAACTTATAGTAACATTACATGTTTTCAAGGTCAAACAAAGATATATTTTAGAAAGACAGGCCATCTTCAAATACTTCAGAGATCTACAGAAAATAGTATGTAAGATCTTTTAATAACATAGGCTCTTTTTTATGACAGTGAGACATATCTGCTCCTGGCAGTATCAGTCTACTTCAGAGAAGATAATGGGCATTGAAGAAACTCTACATAGAGTTTTACTTTCTTTGTGGCAAAAGTAAACCACTGGGCAAGAAAATGCCCTTGCCTCAACTGCTGACAGTATGCTGTCCTAATTAAACAAGCAGGACACAAAAGAAAGTGAATGCCAAACACTGTCAAGCCAAGGAGGGGTAGCCCTTGAGAATATCCTGCTTCACAGAAAAGTCTGTCAGATATGCTAGGCCTATAGGCTGAAGATGGAAGCCCCAACGTTGCAGAGGAACTTTGGGTGACTGTCCAGGCAGCCAGCTATTTCTGTCATTTCTCATATTTTGTGGAAGTCGCTTGCTCGTACTTCTTGCTCACTCAGTTAATATCATTCCCTTTTTGGGTCTCTGAGTGAATTGAAGACTAGATAGTTATAGATATAGTTTTCCTTGTTCACCTGATGCAGAAAGCAAGCCATGATAGAAAGTAAAATAGGTACAAGACTTTGGACTCACCAAGATAGGACAGATATGGAATATTTTCTCTGAATTTGTCAAATGCAAATGGACTAGACATGTTGATGTATTTATTGCCTGTATATACTGTATATAGTCATTGTATTTATTGTATATGGTTTTTCTTATTTTAATTAGTCTTTTTTATTTTAGACAAAAAGGGGAAATGTAGTGATATTTCATTTGTATTTTAATAAATAAAGCCTGCCTGAAGATCAGAGAATAAAACAGCCGCACTGGTCAGCCTTACAGACCAGGCAGTGGTGACCACACCTTTAATCCCAGTAGCTGCGCTAGTTTGACAAAGAAACCAGGTGGTGGTGGTGCACACCTTTAATCCCAGCTCTAGAGGGGAATATAGGATGGGAGGAGACAGCTCGCAGACACAGTCTCATTCAAAGGATTCCTGGAGGCAAGATCGCCATTTCAGAATGAGGTAGAGATAAGAGCCAGTGACTGGCCATTTTACTCTCTGATCTTCAGGCAAGCTTTATTTATTAAATACAAACGAAATATCACCACAGTGCTGGTTACAGCCGTTCTTTGTTCTTGATCTCCAATCCACAGGTAAGGGAGCAACAGCAGTATAACACCAGACGTGACTAAAGCAGCTTCCAACTGAAGATTGACAAGACCCAGAGAAATGACCTTCCGCATGCCCACCACTGGCCAGTCTTCCTGGGAGGCATGCCCTAGGCATGCCTGGCATCTGCAGCAAACCAGCAATCATGAACCCCAGCTCATTTGACCCAGGCAGAATTTGAATCCGATGCAGGCCACGCCCACCAGACTGTCACCCTCATGCCTCACTCTTGCTCCAAGGACAGTTTGATTTTTCCAGAAAGAAAAAGTGATTTGAAATCAACCAGGAGATCTGCATAAACCAGGCAGAGAACTGGGAAGAACAATCACTTCTCTGATAGCCATGGCCTGTGTGTGGACTGTGAGAATGAATACTGGGTACTTGGCTCAAATGTAAACCCGAACACGGCACCCGGACACCACAACACCAGGGCACATGCAGCACCAGAGCACACACAGCACCAGGATATGCTAAGCCACAGCTACCAGCTGCTTTTCAAGAACTGTCTATTCTCATAACAATGTGGCCATTGAGTGGCGACAGCCATTACCAAACACATTTAAATGTTAACATTTAAAATGAGGAAAGGAAAAGGTCCCAAGAGAGGGAGGGGGTATCAGGCTGGAGAGTGGCAGGGGAACCTGGGTGGGTCTGTGGGGCAGGTGCTCATCACGCTCGGGAGCAGACACAGATGAAGGCTGTCAGCTCTCATTAGCGTCACCGCAGCTTTCTACAGAGCCAGATGGAGAGTGTGCGCTCAAGAAACTACAGGTCCACACAGTGAACGGGCGAACGCTCCAGGAAACCCTTCACCTGGGGAAGCACCTGCCTTCACATCGCGGCCCTCAGCGTGCTTGGCTGCGGAGAGTAGGCGTTCTGTGAGACAAATCACCTGTAAGAAACGGTCTTCCTGCTGAGGTATTCAGCATGCAGCTGAGATGGGACTTCCCAAGGGCCATTAGTGAGCGTCAAGGAAAGAGTGTTATTGGGTTGTGTCAAACTAACCTGAGTCTTTCACATGGCTCTAGGAAAAGCAGAATGCCGAACCCCGGGCTATTGATGCGCTGGTTGACTTGGGGAAAAAAAATTATTTCCTCAGAAGACACGTCTAATGAGGCAACTGGGGTCTAAGGTGATCAATTAGAAATTCAAGTGAGGGCACCGGGTTTGGAGTGAGCAGCAGAGGCTTGAAACAGCAAGTGGAGAGAATGAAGCAGTTTCTGTCACGGGTTCGTCTTCATGCTGACGAGTCTGCTCGTGGAGTGCTTCGTGGATGTGCTGGTTTTTATTATCACTTACCTGGAACTCCATTCTGGGAAGAGAAGAAGCCCTACCCCCGAGTTCAGAATGCTCACCTTACCATCCTCCGTGTAGACGTTCTCATTATACCCCTTCACAATCGTGCGGTCGATGAACAGGCTCCTCATGACAACAATCACCTTCAAAACCTTTCCCAAGGTCACCTGTCAAAACATGAGTACATGATGTGAAGTACATGAGTACATGAATGCTCACATTCAACATGCAAACCACACAGAGTTGGGCTGGAGGGCGAAGGCAGAAACCACCATTTATCTGTCCTAACTCAGAGCGAGGCAGCAGAGAACAGAGAGGGAAGGCTCAGTGCTTATCGTTAAAGTACATGACAGACGCAGCCAAAGCACACTCTTCTGTGATACGGGTAATGATAGCCTAGCTCGCTCCATCAGCACAGCCTTGCCTTCCTACCTCTCACCATCTGCCCAGTAGAGCACCTAATGCTCTGCTTTCCAAGGCCAGGGTCCTCTGATCTTGGTTTGACAAGCTGTGTCATGGCCAAGCTTACACACGTGGAACCCATGTAGGGAGAAGAAACAGGCACCCAGCACCCTTGGTGAAGCTGCCTAAAAACAGCTGGTGAAAAGTGGAGAAACAACGCCCAAGAGAACCTGAAGGAAAGGAAAGAGGCTGTGTGTTTCCCTATCCAGAAGGGCAACACGGTCCTGACATGCAGGAAGTGCCTTACTCTCTCAGAACCCTAGCACACACCATGGACTGAGAAAACATCTAAAAGGCTGGAAGATGACTCAGCGGCTGAGAGCACTGGTTGCTCCTTCAGAGGACCTAAATTTGAAAATTGGAATTTATGCCCTGGCAACGCTGAAGCATGCATGGGCAGCCCGTATATGGCAGTTCTGTTGAACTTGTCCATACTGGGTTTCATGGTCTAAGCTGATGAGGACAACTGACCAGGTCTTGTCCTCAAGAGGGTACCAGATCTTATTATAGATGGTTGTGAGCCACCATGTAGTCACTGGGAATTGAACTCAGGACCCTTGAAAGAGCAGGCAGTGCTTAACCGCTGAGCCATCTCTCCAGCTCCCTTCAGAGGACCTGACCTGGGTTCAATTCCCAGCACCCGCATGGCAGCTCACAACTGTCTATAGCTTCAGCTCCAGGAGATCTGGTGCCTGCACCCTCCCTTCACACAGGCATACATGCAGGCAAGACACCAATGCACACAAACGTAAATAAATCTTAAAAAAAAAGAAAAGAAAAAGACGAAAAGACCTGAAAAGCTGAGTGTAGTGGTACACGCCTTTAACACCAGCTCTTGGGAGACAGAGGTAGGAGGATCTCTGTGAATTTGAGTCCAGTCTGAGCTACAGAGTGAGACCCTGTCTCAATACTACCCCTTCCCCTTCCCCCAACGCAAGAAAACACCTAAAAAGGCTTCCAAAATGCCAGGGAAGCGCCAGGCTCTTCATAGTAATGAAGCAATGCTGTTTTTCCTTAGGGACTCAGGCAATGCCTTCTCTGTTCCCAGGTGAGTCCTGGGAGGCAGACCTGGTCCAGAGCCCACTGGAGGTCTGTGGTCTTGGATGTTGATGGGACTAGAGGTCTCAGATTTGCTGAAAGGCCACCCTGCTAGTCTAAGAGTCTCAGCCCACACAGCAAACCTGCTCTTCCAGGACAACTGGCTGACAGTATCTAGAGACTACTTTCAAGCAAACTTTTCTTGTCCCCTTGTTCCCTGAAGCTTTCTGCCTCTGATGACTACTTTCTCAGTTCTTTCAGTAGTCCTGGGTGATGATGAGCATCCTGACACCTAGCTCCCTTTACAGACTCTGGGATGATGTCTCCTTCCATTTTGTGTGCCTTACCTGTGCAAAACATAAACACGGTAAGAGCTAAGACACACACAAACTTGTTTATATTTAAGGATGCTAACAAAGACATCTTACTGTGCACTCTTAAACAGGTGACATTCTTCAGGTACCCAAGAATCACTACTTAAGGATGTAAATGCACTACAAAGGCGGGATCAGCAGGGGCCTCCTGGAAGGGAAGGAGGGCAGGGGAGAGCACAGGACTTAGGGGAGGCAGACCTGACGACCAAAGGCCTGCCCCCCACGACACAGAAGGCTGGCCTAGAAGCCTCAGTAACTGAGAACTGACTTCTACAAACACCCAATCTAGATGGTTTTAACTAACTGACAAATTGTCTCAGGAATTTGGGTTTCTGGGATCCTAGAAAGGCACACTAAGGGCCTCAGAAGGAAGATGATGGCTTCCCACCTAAAGAAGGTCATCATTTATGGTTTTAAGACACTTCTTTAAATATTTCTATTAGTCAATACATGATTTTCATATTCCTGACATGTACAAATATATAGACCTGCAAACCAAATTCTGACATAATTATGCCATAGGTCTTCCTCCATATTGCCTCACAGTCTTCAGAAACAGTGCCAGGTGCTACTTGGTCTAGCTAGCGGCTACCCTGGGCCCTGTCCACTTCCCTCCTGCGGCCACACACTTAAGACGTTTCCAAGTTTCCCTAATGGAAACGATGGCAGCAGGAACTTCCAGTACGGCCACTCCATGGGGGTCAATATTATTCTAAGTTACATTTTATTACTTATTGTATGTGTCTATGTGTGTGGGTGCATGTGTGCACAAGTGTGTGTACAGGTCAGAGGGTCTCCGTCCAGCTTGTGAGTTCCAGGGGCTCAACTCAGGTTGCTAGGTTTGGAGGCCAGCACCTTTACCTGGCTGAAACCTCTCGTCATCCTATGGGGTACTTTCTATTTTAGGATAGATCCACAGAAGTCTAATTACTGGGGCAAATACTACAATCTGCCAAGCTGCTGTCCAGGAGAGCCCTGCCAACCAGAGCTGCTCACACACCTGCTTCGCTCTTTTTCATGCTGCTCCTGCCAGTAAAGGAGGCTACTGAGCCGAGAACAACAAACAAGCCTGACTCCTCTGCCACTCTAATACAGCAATGACAATTTAGGTGTTTAGGGGTGGGGGATTGTGGTCTGTGACAAGGTTTTACTCGGTAGCACAGGTTGGCCTTAAACCTGGAGCAATCCTCCTGCTTTGGCCTCCTGAGTGCTCCTGAGTGTGAACCCGCATGCCTGACCTCCAAATTTTGTTTTTTATTCTTTAGAGATTAATTTGTATTTAAAGAAATATGTGTATGCCGGGTGGTGGTTACAGCCTTTAATCCCAGCACTTGGGAGACAGAGGAAGGCGGATCTCTGTGAGTTTGAAGCCAGCCTGGTCTACAAGGAGGTCCAGGAAAGCCAAGACAGTTACACAGAGAAACCCTGTCATGAAAAAACAAAAACCAAAACAGAACAGAACAAAAAAAGTGTATGTGTGGGTTTATGGGCGGTGTGCACATTTGTGCTCTCAGAGGCCAGAGGAGCCAGATGCTCTAGGACTGGAGTTACCAGTAGTTTTGTGCTGTCTAACATGGGTGCTGGGAACCAAACTTCAGGTCTTCTTCAAAAGGCATTCTTGACTGCTGAGCCATCTCTCTACCCCACCCCCCACCTTGGTTTAAAAGAACAAAACAAAACCATTTAGTAAGTAGGGTGTGAGAGTGCTTGGTTTTTGTCCCAGCACCTGGGGCTAAAGCAGGTGGCTCTCTGTCAGTTTGAGGTCATCCTGGTCTCTATAGACTTCCAAGCTGGCCAAGGCTAACTAGTGAGACTGTCTAAAAATAAACAAAATTGAAACCAAAATCCCCCTATGGCCCTACCTCCTGGCCACCTAGTGTCACTTCTACCTATACTACTGTGAGCCAAGTAACGAAAATGGTGTCAGTTCTCTGTAAATACTCTAGTATGCATCTGTAAAGACAAGGGCTCTGCAAATAAGAAGCCAAATTGGGACAGAACTCATGTCTAGAAAACAGCAACTGTCCAACATTAGCAGATTTCCAACAGTCCTCAAAATACTACTTTGAAAAGAATAAGTACTTGCTCACGCCATCATCCAATCAACTGTGGGCCGTACGAGGACTGATGCACTCACTCCATCAGCCCGAGCTGGGACCTCGCCTATGCTTTGCTGAAGCGTGAACTCTGCTGGCTGAAGAGGTGAGAGAAGTTACTGTCCACTAGGCTCCCGTCCTGAGGTGGGTCTGCACTCCCAGATGCCTTCCCAGGGCGCATGGACGTGTCTCACCCTTCCACAGGTAGCCAGGGGATGAGGCAGGGGTTGGGCTTTTGGCAAGAGCCCACTGTACTGATGTGAGGGCCGCTGAGGCTCAGCACACTTGCACTGGTTTGTTTCACTGTCTTTCCATTTCCATGAGGCTATGGAGCCCGTTAGGGAAGGACTCTAGAGTTCATCTAAGTTGTAGAGGCGGGATTAGAGCCTTTTGAATTTCAGCTCTTGGTGATGCTGTATCTAAACTGAGTTAGGTCTTGATTCTGTTGCTGGGAGGCTTGGACTCCTTGCACCTCTGAGTGAAGTACTTCTGTCAAGAGACAAGGCTGCCTCTGTCGCAGGGCTGGGAGGAGCCCAGCAGGCGATGCCAGCTGTGCAGCACTGCGAAGGACATGGAGGAAGGGCTCAGTAGGGGCTATGGCTCCTCAGCCTGAAGCCGCGCTGGAGTTTCTCAGGGTGCAATGGTTTGAGGCCAGCTAGCAGCAGAGCAATCAGAACCACTGCCCAGCTCAACACTACCACTTGGGGCTTAGCCTCCCTCCTGCTGCCACACTCAAGGCTGTAGGGAAGCTACAGACCATGGTGCTAAACTTCCAGAACAAATAAAATGGTGGGTCTCATGAGTGAATTCTAGGCAGAAAGAACCCGCCAGCCTGCAAGTCAGGGAAGATTAAAGCTGCCACAAGACTGATCAGCCAGATATCACTGACCCCAGTGATGGCCATCTGTTGTACAGAACAGGTCAAGGGCCTGCTCTTTTGCATGGACTTCCTTCCCACAGGTGCCACGTACATGAAGTGTGACATAGGATGAGTCAGTCTCTCATGCCTATCTGCTTAGAAGTGGAATGGGGAGGCGCTGGTTGAGCAAATTAAAAAAAAAAAAGGTGGGGGGAGTGTAGGTTCTAATACTTATTGAGGGTGACAAAGCATCCTTCCAAGTGTGACATGGTGGAGTGGACACACTAGTCATCAGTATGGAGCTAGGTGCACATTCTACAACATGCCACCCAGTGAGC